TTAGGTTGACTCTATATCTTGGCTATTGCTAATAGTGCTTCAATAAAGATGGGAGTGTAAATACTGTTTCCTTTCTTTTGGATTAGTTTTAGTTTTAGTTCTTTGAGGAACTTCTATACTGTTCTCCATATGGCTGTATTAATTTACATTCCCACTAACAGTGTATGATGGTTCCCTTTTCTGCACGTTCTCAACAGCATTTGTTATTGCCTGTCTTTTGGATAAAAGCCATTTTAACTGGGGTGACAGGATATCTCACTGAAGTTTCAGTTTGCATTCCTCTGCTGATTAGTGATGTTCAGCATCTTTTCATGTACCTGTTCGCCATTTGTATGTCTTCTTTTCAGATATATCTATTCAGATCTTTTGTCCATTTTTTTTTTTTTTTTTGGAGATGGAATCTTGCTCTGTCGCCCAGGCTGGAGTGCAGTGGTGTGATCTCAGCTCACTGCAACCTCTGCCTCCAGGGTTCATACAATTCTCCTGCCTCAGCCTCCTGAGTAGCTGGGATTATAGGCGCACACCACCATGCCCGGTTAATTTTTGTATTTTTAGTAGAGATGGAGTTTCACCATGTTGGCCAGGCTGGTGTCAAACTCCTGACCTCTTGATCCACCTTCCTTGGCCTCCCAAAGTGCTGGGATTACAGGTGTAAGCAACCATGCCTGGCCTGTCCATTTTGCAAATGGGGTTATTTAGGTTTTTAAAATTGAGTTGTTTGAACTCCTTATACATTCTAGTTATTAATCCCTTCTTAGGTAGTATGCAAATACTTTCTTCCATTCTGTGGGTTGCCTCTTCATTTTCTTGGTTCCCTCCTTTGTTGTGCAGAAGCTGTTAGCTTGATCTGATCCCATCTATCTATTTTTGCTTTAGTTGCCTGTGTTTTTGAGGTCTTACCCTAATACCAAAACCATACAAAGACACGACAGAAAAAAAGAAAACTATAGGTCAATATATCTTTGGTGAACAGAGATGCAAAAATCCTCAACAAAATACTAGCAAACTAAATTCAATAAAGCAAGGATAATTCAACATACACAAATCAATACATGTGATACATCATACCAACAGAATGGATAAAAACTAAATGATCATTTCAAATGATGCCAAAAAAGTATTCAATTAACTTCAACATTGATTTATGATAAAAACTCTCAAAAACCTGAGTATAGAAGGAACACACCTCAACACAATAAAAGCTCTATATAACATACCCACAGCTAGAATCATACTAAACTGGGAAAAACTAAAAGGCTTTCCTCTAAGATTTGGAACAAGACAAGAATGCCTACTCTTTCACCACTTTTACTCAACATAGTACTAGAAATTTTAGCCAGAGCAATCAGACAAGAGAAAGAAATAAAGGGCAACCAAATAAAAAAAATCAAGTCAAACTAGCCGTGTTTGCAGATGACATGATCTTATATTTAGAAAACCTAATAACCCCACCAAAATCTATTAGAACTGATGAAGAAATTCAGTAAAGTTGCAGGATACAAAATCGACATACAAAAATCAGTATCATTTCTGTATGCCAACAGTGAACAATCTGAAAAAGAAACCAAGAAAGTAATCCCATTTACAATAACTAAAATGTAATCCCTGTCATAATATCAATAACGTTCTTCATAGAAAAAGAAAAAAAAATCCTTTGTATATGGAACCACAAAACCTGGAACAGCCAAAGCAAACCTGAGCAAAACGAACAAAACCAGAGGCATCACATTATGCTGACTTCAAATTATGCTACAAAGCTACAGTAATTAAAACACCATGGTATTGGCATAAAAGCAGGCACATAGACCAATGTAACAGAATAGAGACCCCAAAAGTAAATTTATGCATTTGCAATCAACTCATTTTCAACAAAGGTGCCAAGAACATACATTGGGACAGACAGTCTTCTTAATAAATGGTGCTGAGAAGACTAGATATCCACATGTGAAAGAATGAAACTAGATCTTTCTCTCATCATATACAAAAATCAAATCAAAATGGATTAAAGATTTAATCTAAGACTTGAAGCTATAAAACTACTTGAAGAAAACACTGGGGAAATGCTCAAGAACATTGGTCTAGCAAAGATTTTTTTTTTTTTTTTGGAGACAGTTTTGTTCTTCTTGTGCAGGCTAGAGTGCAATGGCATGATCTCAGCTCACTGCAACCTCCACCTTTCGGGTTCAAGCAATTCTCCTGCCTCAGCCTCCCAAATAGCTGGGATTATAGGTGCCAGCCACCATGCCCAGCTAAGTTTTGTATTTTTAGTAGAGACAAGGTTTTTCCATGTTGGCCAGGCTGGTCTGGAACTCCTGACCTCAGGTGATCTACATGCTTCGGCCTCCCAAAGTGCTGGGATTACAGGTGTGAGCCACTGCGACCGGCTCAAAGATTTCTTGAGTAAGATTTCAGCCCTACTCTGGGTAACCAGAGAGGTCTAGTAAAGACTGAAGCATCTTGCATTTACCATCTGAGTTTAGAAAAAATGTTTACAGCACAACATCAGGGAACCATTCCCAGACGTGGCTAGGGATACTGCCACTTCTTGTGAATCTGGAGCTGTTCCTTTCATCTCAAGCTACTATTTACAGAAGTGTTACCACAGAATTATAATTATGGGTTTGTTTAGTTATAAAGAGGGTTTGAGTCTTCCATCAAAGGGATAGGAAACAACTCACTCAGAGGTGTGGAGAAAATCTTTCACACTCACTGCTTGATGGAATTCCAGTAGTCTGCATGGATTCAGGCCAGAGCATGAGCTCCTGGATCATGGAGAGCTTGAGCTTATAATGGGCAGGACAGCCCAGAACACTGCCCCTCCTTCCTCTTTTCTTGGAGAAGTCGTGGTGATAAGGTAGGCAAGCAAGTCTTGGGCTTCCACCAGGCCAGCTTCTCCACTCATGCAGACTTCCTTCTGTTCCAAGGAAACGTCATTCTTATCTCTCCTGCAGAACATGAAACCAGCAGCTCCCAGGCTCATGAAGGAGTGGCTATCTGGGCACTGGGAAGGTGGAGAGAGGCTTTCTGGGGTTGTCTCTGGCAAGATAGTAGATTCCTTGGGAGGTCTAATTGCTCCTAATATTGCTTCCTCTAGATTTCTTTCCTTTACTTTTTCCCGCCATTTTTGGCTCTGATCCCAAAACTTGGGCTCTGCATTCTTTGATAATCTATCACACCTCTGATACCGGGGACCTGAGACCTGGTCCTACCTGCCCTAGGTGGTACATCCACTGAAGCCTCACAGGCCTTTCCATCACAGGCTTGGCCACCGAGCCTGGTGTCTGGGACACTAACAGCTCACTGATGCTGCAGGGCCTCCTCCTAATCTCTGGCCGAGGCTGGCACAGAAGGCTCACAACAAACCATGTGCCTCTAAGATAATGTGATAAGCAGAGTAAAATCTGTTGACTTTTTACCCCACGAAACCTGCATGTTTTAATGCAATGGAGATGACTCAGCTACTGAAGAATGCATGTTCCATTTCTGAGACAACTTAGCAAACCAAGCTCTGTGGAGTTGAGGAAACACAGAAACTGGGAGTCGAAGTAAAAATTCCTGCTTCCTCAGAAAAATCTGTTTGACACTGTCTAGCATCCATTCATTAGATTCATAACATACCAAACAAGGATTCAATCTTCAGCCTGAGTTCCCATGAATCTGTATTTCTGCACTGAGATGGGGGATGTATTTTCTACCAGCATGTGAGCAAAGGGGGAAATCCATTGCTTTGACTTCCTTCAGTCGGTTTCCTCTTGGGCCTGGGACATTAGCATCCCACTAACATTTGGTTACATAAAGCTACACTTTCCCAGTGCATTATTTTGCATCTTGAAAGAATGTGGTAGCTGTAGCTACAAGACCTGCCATCAATCACTGGTCGTTCATCGTCACTGAGTAGCTCTCATGGTGTAACCTCACTGTGCCTGTTTGGCTTAAGGTCCTGGTGGCTGGGCTGATGGAGAACGTATCTCCTGGCTCTCCTCTCCCTGCCTCTGGGCCCCCAGCATTATAGCCAGGGAATACACTTGCTCTGGGGAGCTCTAAGCTTAATGGATTTTGCAGCATTTCCCCTTCCTTCCTGCTACAAAAGCTCTGGCTTAGCATGAAAGCTGCCCCAGATCCCTGAACCTAGGGTACCCTGCCTGCCTCAAGGAACTCGCCAGCCTCCTGCAGATTAAGGCTCAGTATTAGCCTATATAAAAAGCCTCCTGCTTAGTCATAACAAATACACCAACTACCATTTACAGAGTGCTCACTACGTGCCGGCCAGTGTATGACTACCCTGTGGGTGGTGCTGCATATAATCCTCACACAACCCTGGCAGCTGGCACTGTCTTTATTCCCATATCATGGTTAAGAAAACTAGAACTTAAGTTAGGTCACATAGCTAGAAAGTGATGGACTGGATGCTCCCCTCTCTATGTCCATGTGTTCTCATTGTTCAACACCCGCCTGTGACTGAGAACATGTGGTGTTTGGTTTTCTGTTCTTGTATCAATTTTCTTACAGGTGTATCTAAAAATTCAAAAAGATTGTTGTCACTCAACTCATTCACGCAATGTACTCTTTCTCTATACTTCAGTGCTATGAGGAAATGCTCAGCACCAGGAGTCGATTCTCTTTTTGCTTCTGCAGTTATTGGTCTTTTGTTTGGTTTTCCTTCCTCCCTCCTTCCCTCCCTCTCTCCTTTCTTGTTTCTAAATTAAAGCACCGGGCTCCACCTTTCCCAAGGCAAGTCTTCTGAATTTACAGCCATACATAAAAAATAAAGCCAACATTCTTATTTCTAGCTAGGAAGAGAAAGATGACAGTGCTGCAGGTTTATGCAGCATCATCTCAAGATGAAAATGAAGGACTTCGTCCTGCTTCGAACAGAAACAGTGACCCTGGTGAGTTAGCTTATTATATCTGGTCACTATTGCTTTATATTTCTGAGTTACATTCTGATTGCCTACTCACATCTCCACTGGTGTATATCCCATGTCAGCTCTACCTGTGAGGCGTCACCCCTCCAAAGCTACAGCTGATTGGAACCGGGACCATGCTGAGGGACCAAGCTGGAGCATCCCTTTAGATGCATTCGCCAATGAAAGTCTCCCTTTAAGCATGTGCTTTAGCCATCTACAGGACCAGAGAGGGCAAATCCTCCCAGCCAAGTAATAACATTTCTATCCTCTGTCTTCTGCTCCATCTCCATGCTTTGACCCAGGCAGAGCCCAAAATAGCAGTCAGTAGTGGGAGAAGGAAGTTGAGGAAATGAAGAGGAATTCTACCATATCTCCATGGCTCCATTCCCCTGAGGCAAATAGCCCAATTGTAATCTTAGCACAGCAGAGAGGTGGGGGGCAAAGGGGCAGGTAGGAGTCTGTTTTTGGAAGCTTATTATTTTGGATTGAACTCATTCTAATTACTGAATTGGGATTTTTTTTTTTTTTTTGTGGGGCTTAAAGTGACATAGACTATCAATTGAGAGTGACTAGAAAAGCCACAATGGAAAGAATTGTATCAAAGGACAAAGGGAGGCTCTTGCACTGGGTAAGTTCTTTAAAGGGATAGTAGGAGACAAAGAATAAAGTTGCATTTTGGTTGCTGCACAGGTTATACCCACTGATGAACTAGTTACATGCATGTGGCCAGATTTGTTTTAAAAACTTACTCTTGGCTATTTTGAAGGGACTGGATTGGAGAGGGCAAGAGTGAAGCTAAGAATCTAAAAATCGGTGTTCCAGTATTCCAGTTGGGACATGACTACAGAAATGACAGTGAAGATAAATGAAATCCAACATGCAACCAGAAAGTAAAAGCAATAGAATTCAAAGGATGGATTGAAAGTAGGGGTGGGACAGAAGAAGGTATTAAGGATTGTTCTAAGTTTCTGAGCAACTGGATAAATCTCAGCAGAACTGTGAGCTAGAGACCCCCGGAGGAGGAGCAGATTTGGTGTAGGGAAGAAGCGACCTCTCATAAATCTCAGCCTTAGCTGGTTCCTGAGGCTATTTAAAAACAGCCTTCCAAACAGTTTTCTTTGAGGTGTCTCAATGAACAGAAGGCCAGTGCTGGAATCTGAGATGTATTTTGAAAACTGACATATGTGTTGGCTGGACTTAAGCTTTCATTTAGCTTAGGAGCAACAAATATCTTGGAGCATCTCCATACCATGGCTAGTTCAATAAATCTGGAGCGGATTCTAATAGAGGAATACATGTGATCTCTCTGAGGGCTGCTTCCCCAGGGAAAAGCTTGCTTTTCAAAGCAGAGGATGTTTGCCCACTCTTGCCAATAAATGCCAACTTCTACAGATAAAATTAAATGGCTTCAGAGAACTCTGGACCATGACTGTGAATAGCCATGATTCCTGGCAGCAGGCAGGGAGGCTGCATATACGTCTCTCAGTGTTCAGAGCAGAAACATCTGTCTAAAGCCACAAGGCCTTGGTGGACGCAAGCAGCTGTGAACCCGGGGGGCTCATTCATCTGAACCAGACTGTTGCAGATGTCTGCAGCTGCTGAGAGCCCATTCTGAAACTCATGGCCTCCATTCAACTAGGGCTGGCCAGTGGGATGACCTGGAGGATTCCCCACATGAGGCAAGACCCACTTCTTACCTGAGCACAGCTAATATGAGATTACATTTAAAATGTCAGACCCTTGAACAAAAGGCAGTTTATCTTGGCTCCTGCTACTGAGGTTATACTCCCCATGGCCTTGGATTTGGTGATAAAGAACCAGTTATACATGGTGTAGTTTTCAAAGTGCTGCCTCACTACTTAAATCAGCAACATAAACACAAGGTGACACAGTCACGAGGTTTTTCCTCCCCAGTGAGTCAACTGCATGCAAGCCTTCCAAGCAGCTGCCTGTCAGAACTGCTGCTCAGATCTTCAAAATTCTTACCCAAAATGAGAAAGAAATCCTGTGAGACAGTTTAGCTGAATGATACTCTAACCACAGTTTTAATGTTTTATTTTTTTGAGATGGAGTCTCACTCTGTTGCCCACGCTGAAGTGCAGTGGTATGATCTTGGCCCACCGCAACCTCTACCTCCCAGGTTCCAGCAATTCTCCTGCCTCAGCCTCCCGAGTAGCTGGGATTACAGGTGTATGACACCATGCCCTAAAGGGCAGTACTAATCGTTCTATTTTTAGTAGGGATGGGGTTTCACCATACTGGCCAGGCTGGTTTCAAACTCCTAACCTCAGGTGATCTCCTGCCTCGGACTTCCAAAGTGCTAGGTTTACAGGTGTGAGCCACTGCGCCCAGCCTTCTAACCACAATTTTAACGTCCTGTGGAATAAATAAATTTAGAAGATGGTTTTATGTGTGTGCATAATATGTAAAGACAAAAATGCCAGTTTTCTCTCAAAATAGGTTAAAAGTGAAATAGTATTATTTGCTGTTAAAAAAATATTATAAAACATGATTTAATTAATGTCAATTTCCTGGGTCTGAAGATGGCTCTAAAGTTATATAATATGCTAACATTTGTAGAAGCTGGGTGAATGATATATGGGAACTGTGTACTTTTTTTTTTTTTTTTTGCAACTTATGTGTAAGTCTAAAGTTACTTTGAATTATAAAATATAATTTAGAAAAATTAGGACTTGGAGTCTCTGAGTCTTCCCATTCATTATTCTTCTCTGTGAAAGTGTTCTTTCCCATTAAAAAAAAGTAATCTGGTCAATTTTAGATGGGATCATTAAAAAATAAATGAGAGGCACTTACATTTTATATCAGTATAGATTTTGCATTAATTGTCTCAACATGCTAGCAGAGCCCCATCAGCTGATTGTGTGAGAAAACTCTCATTTCTCACTTCCAAATGGAAAAGGTCCTGGCTAATTTGAATGGATTTGGCTTTAGATCTAAAACAACTGCATCCTCTGGGGATGAGCAAGCAGACGTGTAAGCGTCTCCTTAACTGAAGAGCTGTTGCTGAGGAAAATAAAATTTCATCACATCTGGTTTTAAATTGCAATGTGAGTGGATTTTATCACTCACACAGATTTCAAAATGGGATTTTGTGCATGTATTTATTTAGGTAATTCATGCAGACATATAATTAGATTTGCTTTTTATATGCCGTCACCCCAGATTATCTGTAGGTGATCCTAAAAGGAAAAACATTTCAAACGTTGTTGATACCTGGACTTGCAATATGCTTTTGTCCTCTCATTGCATGACAAAAAAATGAATTTGGGGTTAACACAGTTTCCTGATTGAGAAAATGATTTTGATTTTAATATACAAGTATTATTAAATTCTGAATAATTACAGTTTAATAAACTCATGGAAAAGGTTTTACTATTGCAGTTAAGCATTAAGATTCCCCTTCATGATCTTGTAGGATCTCATACCTTAATTATAGGAATGCTTAAGGATCACTTAACAAGAGAAATTGAGTAAGTGGCATATCAGGGAAAAAAGAGCTTTTCTTGGATTTGAGCAAATTCTGTAAAATGGCAATAGAAGAGGACTTCAGAGAATCTGGTCTAATCTCCATGTTTGGGATTTTTAGGAAGTTTAAATGGCTGGTGCTTAATTTGATGGTAGGGTGGGCTGCTAGATTCCTTTGACAAGCTGAGAAAGCTATAGATATTCTACCTATAAAACACATTCTTAAAGACTTTAGATACCAATTAGAGGCTTTTGTGAAACCCCTGGAGTATTTTTTTATTTTTTTTTAAGAGAGAGGGTCTTGCTCTGTCACCTAGTCTTGAGTGGAATGCAGTGTCACTGCAGCCTTGACCTCCTGTGCTCAAATGATCCTCCAGCCTCAGCCTCCTGAGTAGCTAGGACTACAGGCATATACCACCATGCCCAGCTAATTTTTAAGCTTTTTGTAGAGGCAGGATCTTGATACATTGCTCAGGCTGGTCTCAAAGTCCTGGCTTTAAGTAATCCTCCTGCCTCAGCCTCCTGAAGAGCGGGATTACAGGCATGAGCCACGAGGGCTAGCTCATTTTTCCTTTATTTTTCTTTGTAAAACAGAACAAAAGACAGCCACCACTACAAGTCTGTGAAGGTGTTTATGACTATTAGAATAAGGAGGCACGCCTAAAGAAATATACACACTAAACTGTTACCTTTAGTTACATCTGGAGTTTGGAACTGGTGTGGGATTGAAGGGGAAAAAGAAACTATGTTATTGAGATTTTAGACACTTGGGATTGCTTAAATTATCAATATGAAGATATAGGATGTATCACTTTTGAAAGTCAAATGCCTGAAATGAATATATGAGACAGAGAGAAAGAGGGAGACAGTCTCTGCTTTAAATGGACCGATAAAGTTTCCTTTGAGTGATCTTATTACAGCTCCTCGGCTCATAGCCTCCCTGCCGCCAGCTCCAGTAATCAACAGTTTTCTTCCTTGAGATTAAAAAAAAAAAACACCTTCTAAGCCTCCCACCTTCTGCTGAAAATCCCCAAGGGAAAAGAAAAAGAAAATGCTAGTACTTTGGACTCTAGCAGCAAAGGGATGTTGAAAAAAAAACAACATGTAGTGAGAACCTCACAAGTACTTACATATATGAGCTCATATGATCCTTATACTAACCCTCTGGGTTAGAAAACAGAAATACAACCGTCCAGCCTGGCACAGTAGCTCACGCCTGTAATTCCAGCACTATGGGAGGCTGAGGTGGGCGGATCACGAGGTCAGCGGTTCAAGATCAGCCTGGCTAACATGGTGAAACCCTATCTCTACTAAAGACACAAAAAATTAGCCAGGCATGGTGGCGCATGCCTGTAATCCCAGCTACTCAGGAGGCTGAGGCAGGAAAATTGCTTGAACCCGAGAGGCGGAGGTTGCAGTGAGCCGAGATCACGGAATTGCACTCCAGCCTGGGAAACAGGGTGAGACTCCATCTCAAAAAAAAAAAAAAAAAAAATACGACCCTCCTAACTTAAATCAGGAAGACTTAGTACCCTGAACAGACCAGTAACAAGCAGCAAGATTGAAATGGTAACTTAAAAATTACCAACAAAAATAAGTCCAGGACCAGATGATTTACAGCAGAATTCCACCATTCTAAGAAGAATTGGTACCGGTCCTTTTGACTCTATTCTGCAAGATAAAGAAGAAATCCTCCCTAATTCATTCTATGAAGCCAGCATCACCCTAATAACAAAACCAGAAAAGGACATAACCAAAAAAGAAAACTATAGACCAATATCCTTGATGAACATAGCTGCTAAAATCCTTAACAAAATACTATCTAACCAAATCCAACAACATTTTAAAAAGATAATCTACCATGATCAAGTGGGTTTCCTATGTGGGATGCAGGGATGGTTTAACATACGCAATTCAATAAATGTGATTCACCACATAAACAGTATTAAAAACAAAAATCACATGATCATCTCAACTGATGCAGCAAAAGCACTGGACAAAATCCAGCATCTCTTTATGATTAAAACTCTCAGCAAAATTGGCATATAAGGGACATATTTTAACGTAACAAAAGCCAGCTATGACAAACCCACAGCCAACATAATACTGAATGGGGAAAAGTTGAAAGCATTCCCTCTGAGAACTGGAACAAGACAAGGATGCCCACTCTCACCACTCCTCTTTAACATAGTACTGGAAGTCCTCCCCAGAGCAATTAAGAGAAAGAAATAAAGGGAACCTAAATCAGTAAAGAGGAAGTCAAACTGTCACTGTTTGCTGATATGATCGATTTACCTTGAAAACCCTAAGGACTCCTCCAAAAAGCTCCTAGAGCTGACAAAAGAATTTAGCAAAGTATCCGGGTACAAGATTAACATACCCAAATCAGTAGCTCTTCTGTACACCAACAGCAACCACGGGGAGAATCAAATCAAGAACTCAACCCCTTTTACAATAGCTGCAAAAAAATAAAATACTTAGTAACATACCTAAGCAAGGAGTCGAAAGACTACTATGAGGAAAACTATAAAACACTGCTGAAAGAAATCACAGATGACATGAACATATGGAAACACATCCCATGCTCATGGATGGGTAAAACCAATGTTGTGAAAATGACCATACTGCCAAAAGCAATCTACAAATTCAATGCAATCCCTATCAAAATACCACCATCATCTTCACGGAATTAGAGAAAACAATTCTAAAATTCATATGGAACCAAAAAAAGAGCTGGCATAGCCAAAGCAAGACAAAGCAAAAAGAGCAAATCTGGAGGCATCACACTACCTGATTTCGAACTATACTATAAGGCCATAGTCACCAAAACAGCGTGGTACTGGTATAAAAAAAAGGCAC